CTTCGATCGGAAGTCGCCGTGATCCATGGAGAGGTCCTTGAAGCTACCGGAGTGAACAAACTCGTTCCTCTGATCTCTCAGTGACTCCACTGCTCGTTCCAAGCTCGACGAGTCCATGTAGCCAGGATTGTTCACCAGAAGAGCTGAGAGCAGCGTGATGTCCCAGCTATCCATTTCGTCTTCCTTCAGCCGCTCAAGCATGGCTTTGCCCAATCTACTTCGCTGGTAGTCATTCATCCGAGAGGCTATCTCTCGCCCCGTCCTGTGGTTCCAGTTCTTGCCTGTTCTCGACTTGTAACACTTTCTCAGCACCTTCACCAAGACTTCAGTTCCCAGGCCCAGCATCAGTTTCATGTAGCGGCTGAAGTTGTCCTGCGGCGTGAAGGCTTCTACAAGAACCGGCGGGTCGGGATCATTCTTCCAGTCTATCACCGCACCTCCTTTCGTTTCGTTCTTGAGCGAGCAGCCTTCGATGATGCAAGAGGAGGGGACAACGATCTCGAGCCCCTTCCCCTCGGCCACGATCGGTCTGAAGCACTTCTCGATCGTGCAGGTCTCCAAGCGGATTTTTTGTGCATTGAAAGGTTGATTCCAAAAGACGCGAACAGCTGATTCCTTGCAGTCTTTGATGGTTGTCTCAGATACCTTGAAGGTTGCCCCAGAAGCATGGATACCAACGTTGCAGCCTGAAATGTTCAAGTTCATAAAGTTTGCCTTACACTGATCATTGGCCGCAACACCGATCATTGCACATTTTTCTATCGTTGAATTCTTCACGATAATTTCCTCAGCGCATGAACTTAAGACGATACCATGCCTCCCACAAGGTCCAACCCTGCAGCCGTCTACTTGAAGCCCATGGCAACCAGTATCGTTGATGCAGACTGCGGAGCCGTTGGGGCATCTGACTTCTACGTTCTTCATTGTCAAAGAACCTGACGCCAGCAACACTCCACAACAGCCACCCGAGGTAAACGGGGAGTTCTTACTCAGAGATGAAAGAGCCATGATGGAGAGAGAGTCAAGAACAACTCCAGGAGCAGAGATTCTCAGGGCAGCAGACCCGACAGATACCAACTTGGGATTTTCCAAGAAAAAGACAAGCCCACAATACTGCAAGGCTTTGTGATCTCTAGAGTAGCAAGAAAGTATTGAGACAACTCAGAGTTCTGGATGATGACCGTGTCGTGGGCTTGCAGCATCTCCAGCGCTAGAGACCATGTAGGAAACTCTCCTGTTTCCTATAGCTCCTGACTCTGAAGGTTTTACCTCCCCTGCCTTGGCATAATGCAGCACATCTGACCCTTCGAACAGGACCGGAACTCCTCGAGGACCTTCCTTTCCCACCTTCTTTCCTGCCCTCCACTCGCCTGTCACCGTGTCTAGCACATCAATGCCTGCAGTTTGAAGAAGGCAAGCTGATAGGGCGGGACGAGGAGGGCAGGGCTTGCAGTCGAAGGCGACCATGGCGCCATGACTGGAGGTGATGGTAGCAAAGGGAAACGACATGTCAGGATCTAGATCCATTCTTCCTATCTCGATCCCATTCCTGACAAAGTAGATCGCACTGGCCTCATTCGTCAAGCTCAGTATGCCGCATCCTATCCTGTCTCCCGCCATGCATTTTGGTCCGAAGTCAATGTGATCGGATGAAAACATGTCCTTCGTGCAATAGTGCAACTTGCCGTCGTGGCTGTGAAAGCCGATAGATCCCAGCTGCTTCCCC